AACTACAGACCCTCACCACAGTTCCTGGAAAAATCATGGAGCAGGTCCTCAAGGAATCCATTTCTAAGTTTCTAAGCACTTGGAGGAGGAGGAGATGATGAGGAACAGTCAGCATGGATTCACCAAGGGCAAGTCATAACTGACCAACCTGAATGCCTTCTATAATGAGATAACTGGCTCTGTGGATGCGGGGAGAGCAGTTGATGTGATATACCTTGACTCTAGCAAGGCTTTTCATAACCATCTCCCACAATATACTTGCCAGCAAGCTAAAAAGTCCAGGCTGGATGAATGGACTGTAAGTTGGCTAGAAAAATGACTGGATTGTTGGGTTCAGAGAGCAGTTATCAATGACTTGATGTCTAGTTGGCAGCCGGTACCAAGTGGGTTGGTCCTAGGGCAGGCTTTGTTCAATATCTTCATCCATGAGCTGGAAGATGGAATGGAATGGAGTGCACCCTCAGCAAGTTTGCAGATGACAGGGACAGTGGCTGGGGGAGGGCATGGTGGGGAGAGACCTGTATATATGCTGCAGAGTAGTAATAGGATTCATAGAGATGTAAACAAATTGGAGAACTGGATCAAAAGAAATCTCACGAGGTTCAATACGGATAGTGCAAAGTCCTGCACTTAGGATGGAACAATCCCATGTACCTGCACAGGCTGAATGACTGAATGACTAAGTAGTTTTTCCAACTATTTAAGTTGGTCTAATAAAAGATATCAGATTCACCCAAAGAACCTTGTCTGCCTAAGTAGCAGCTCTGCAGAAAAGGACCTGGGCATTACAGTGAACAGTAAGCTGAATAACAGCCAACAGTGTGCCCTTGTTGTAAACAAGGCTAATGGCATACTGGGCTGCATTAGTAGAACCACTACCAGCAGATCGAGGGAAGGGATTATTTCCCTCTCTTTGGCACTGGTGAGGCCACATCTGGAGTACTGTGTCCACTATAGAAAGGATGTGGACAAGTTAGAGAGATTCCAGCAGAGGGCAATGAAAATGGTTAGGGAGCTGGGGCACATGACTTCTGAGGAGAGGCTGAGGGAACTGGGCTTGTTTAGTCTGGAGAAGAGAAGACTGAAAAGGGATTTAATAACAGCCTTCATTTACCTGAAGTGTGGTTCCAAAGACGATAGGGCTAGATTGTTTTCAGTGGTGGCAGACGATAGAACAAATAGCAAGGGTTCCAAGTTTCAGCAAGGGAAGTTTAGGTTACAAATTAGGAAAAACTTTCTCACTAGGAGGGCAGTAAAGCACTGGAACAGGTTACCCAGAGAAGTTTTAGAACTTCCATCCTTGGAGGTTTTTAAGACCCATCTTAACAAACCTTTGGCTGGAATGATGTAGGTGGGGATGGTCCTGCTTTGAGCAGGCAGCTGGACTAGATGATATCCTGAGGTCCCTTCCAACCTTAATTTTCTATGATTTACCGCAGACTGGCAAACCATGGACTGGAAGTGATCACCATACTGCTTGCCTGCAGTAAGCCAGTCACTGCTGGTCCGCAGTTTGCCAGTCTGTGGTCACTTCCAGTCCACAGCTTGCCAGTCTTCAGCCTAAAAAGGTTGGGAATCCCTGGCTTAGCACATTAGCGCACCATGTATAAAGGAGTGCTCAATTCCTTTAAAAAAACCTCAAATTATCAATGAAAGCTTGCAAATTTGCATAAGCATTGCTTTTTCCTAATCCTTTTAAACTATTGGATGATAATAAGAGCAAAATTTGAAGGACCAGACTGGCTCCCAAAAGTTTTCACAAGAGCCTGGAATCAATTATTTATTTTTCCAGGATTGCCCAGCACACAGAACTTGGGGTAGATTTTTATTTTTCCAGATGGCTGAGCTTCCATTTGGCCAGCCAAAGGAAGGAGCCAGTTTTTCAAACATCCTCAGCATCCATTAGCTTCCACTGAGAATAAATCACTAAGAATAATAGGTAGGGACCTACCGAAATTGTGATTTCACAAAATCGAGGTAATACCCAGGAAAACTGCAAAATCTGCAGGGGAGGAAAAAAACCTTATGGAATATAAAATGCCAGCTCCCTAGAGGGCACCAGCAGTCCTCATTGAGTGGGGAGGGCGGCCTTCCCACTTGAAGAGCTGCTGGCAAGATGGCTATTGCACCACTGCTCACTGTCATGTGGCCCCACTCCTCTTCACCAATTGGCAGCAAGGTGCAGGGCTGCATGACAGTCAGCCTTTGCAGCCAATTAATGGTGAGGGGTGGGACCACATGACAGGCAGCCCTTGCAGCCAATCAGCAGTGAGGAGCAGGGCCACAGGGTCACTCAGTCAAGCAGAGGTGTGGGGGAACTGCTGTGATCTGCCCGTAAAATGACTGCCAGGCCCCATGTTCTGCCTGCAAAATTGGTGGGCAGGCACTGCAGATGAGGTAGGCCCCTAACAATAGGAGCTGCTGGGTTCAGAGCCCTTATGAAAGTCCATCCCTTAATATACAATTTAAAGTGTAAATTTTTACTCTAATCTAGGCCTGAGCCAACTGAAGACTTTCAGAAAGACATGGAAGCTACTTGATTTGATTTCTGTCAGTCACAATCTTACAGTTAATATTGTTAAATGTGTCATTTTTCTCAGTAGGTAAGAAGTGAAAATATCACCTGAAAATGTCATTCAACCCAAGAATACCAGTGTTTGTTTCTGGCACTTCATTAAACTGGGTAACATTAATACCATATGATCTAGTTCACATTGCTTTCCAGAAAGCAAATAAAAGCTGTGGTGGTAGATTACTTGCAATCAGCTTATCAGAAGGGCTTCCTTTTTCTTCTGAGTGTTTTCTATAAGCCATCCTAGTAAGTTTGCTGGAGAGTAGTTATACAATGTACGTCAACAGTGAGGCAGCAGCTGAGCTGAGCTAAGCCAACCTTCCTGACCCCGGCAGCTCTAGGAGCTTGAGAGAGCAGGAGTTGGGGAAGAAAAGGGTTAGAAGGGTTCAAAAAGAAGAGAAAGTAGAGAGAACAAGCAATGCTCTATCCCATGGCTATTATAAAACAACTAGCGCACGGGTCAGCGAGGGATATGTGTACCCCTGGGGGTACTTGAGAAGGTCTTAGGAGGGATGCACGGATGGACGGGGACAAAGCATAACCATACACCATCCTGCGCTGCCATGCTGCTCTGTGTCTGGCTGTGTGCCACCCTTCCCTCCACCCCCACATCCAGCCACCGGGGGTACACTAATCCAAAAAGGTTGAAAACCCCTGAACTAGCAAACTGCCCATCAAGATTGATGGGCGGGGAGCCAGAGATGGAGGGGGGAAGCTTGCTAACCCTAACCGTAATCTCCCCACAACCCCGGCCCCACTGCTGCCTCCTAGAAGCAGGGTGGGGGAGAAAGCTTGC